GGAGTAGTACTTGCAAGGAAGAAAACGTGCGTACTTGCTCAATCGGTCCACAACCATGAGGATGCCGTCGTGCCCGAGCCGGTCTCGAGGAAACGGACCGGTGACATCCATAGCAATGGAGATACCGGGTTCCCGGTGGATAGGCATCGGGCGTAACTCGCCATAGGGATTGCGGTTGCGGGGTTTGCTGCGTCGGCAAACTTCGCAAGAATCACAATACCGCATGACATCGGAAATGAGGTCGGGCCGTCGGAATCGTTGTCGAAGCCGTGCAATCGTGCGATTGACTCCGAAATGGCCGGCGAGTCGCGAATCATGATACTCGCCGAGAAGGCGAGTCCAAAGACGGCGGTCACGTGGGACACACAGTAAGTCCTTGCCTCTCGAGTGGAGGAGCAAGTACCCGTCGGCGATGCGATAGTGGCTGGCCGGCGGGTGATCCGAAGATAGCTGCGCATACAACGTAGCAAACTCTGGGTCAGACTGATACCCCCTGATGAAGTGTCGTTGGAGGTCCTCGTCGAACGAGAAGGCGTGATGCGTCATAGCGCAAAGATCAGGTCGTCGCGAAAGTGCATGTGCTGCGCGATTGGAGAGGCCGTCAACGTGTTTCGGTATGAAGTCAAACTGGTCGATGAAGTACATCCACCGTCCAATCGTGCTGCTCACCGTGTCCTGCGTCTTGTAGTAGGTCAATGGGTTATTGTCTGTGACCCATGTGAACCTACGATGCCCAAGAAGGAAGTGCCGCCATCGCTTGAGAGCCCTGACGAACGCAAGCAGCTCCTTCTTCCTTGCATCATCCAGAGAATTGATGGGAGGCACTTTGTGGCTGAAATACTCCACAGGGTGCCAATCCTCGCCGTCGTGCTGCTCCAAGACTGCCCCAATGCCGTAACCGGAAGCGTCAGTCGTCACTCKCGTAGGCAGAGTGGGGTCGTAGATGCTAAGGACGGGTGCCATGAGCATGGCCGTCTTGAGTGCTTGGAAAGCCTGGCGCGCGTCATCATCGAATACGAATGGCACCTTTGGCGATTGTAGTCTCGTCAGAGGTGCGGCAATCCTTGAGTATCCGGTGATGAAACGCTGATAATAGCCTGCCAACCCCATGAATGAACGAATGTCCGTGGTGTTGGTGGGCTCGGGCCATACGCGGATGGCCTCGATCTTGTCCGCAAGCGGACGGATGCCTTGCGGCGTCACATAGTGTCCCAAGTACTCCAGCTCCTGTTGTGCAAACTCGCACTTGTCGCGGTTTGCTTTGTACTTGGCCTGTCGTAGCCACTCCAAAACGGTGCGCAGGTGTTCCACATGCTCGTCCAGACTCCGGCTGTAAACCAGAATGTCGTCGAGGTATATAAGTACGAAACGATCCAGCATGTGTCGGA